CCATTCCTCTACCCGCAATAAAATACCTTATGCCACCAGACTTCAAATTTTGGGCTTAGATAATTTAGAACTACGCTGACTTCGGTCTGACCTAAGCATAGTATATAAAATTATCTGCCACAACGTCCTACCTGTCAATGACTACTTCAGCTTCATCCGCAATAATACACGAGCACACAATAGATACAAACTCAAGGTAAACCGTTCCAAACTCGATTGCAGAAAATACAACTTCAGCAACAGAGCGGTCAATGCCTGGAATGCACTACCTGACTCTACCTGTGGTTTCATCCTCAAACCCACAAAACTTTAACCTTAAACTGTCTACTGTTGACCTCACCCCATTCCTGAGAGGTCTGTAAGGGGCGTGCATAAGCATACCAACGTGTCTACCATCCCTGTCCTAATATCCCCTTTTATTTGTATCCTGTATACATTTCCTGTATTCATAATCATGTTTATACTTATATCTGTTATCTTATACATGTTTGGCAAACTAACTAACTAACTAACTAAATGGAGAAAGGAGAATTCGGATGCAACAGTCTTCTCGGTCGCAAAAGAAGAGGAATGGGCAATGAAAGGAGGAGGAAATGTCAAAAAGTTTGAGATGCGTGACCCCGATAAATATCCCAGATAATCGCCAGACAATTTGGAAACTGGGTGGGTCTCCCCTAATTGTAGCATCAGAGACGTATCCACTCGCCACAAGGGAAGTTTTATTATCAGGAAATTGAGTTGTCATCGACTTTGTAGGGATGCGGTGGCTCAGTGGCTAAGACGCTGAGCTTGTCGATCGAAAGGTCGGCAGTTCAGCGGTTCGAATCCCTAGCGCGCCGCTTAAGGGGGTGAGCGCCCATGACTTGTCCCAGCTTCTGCCAACCTAGCAGTTTGAAAGCACGTAAAAAAAAAAATGCAAGTAGAAAAATAGGGGCCACCTTTGGTGGGAAGGTAAGAGTTCTGTGCCCTTTTGGCGTTGAGTCATGCCGGCCACATGACCACGGAGACGTCTTCGGACAGCGCTGGCTCTTCGGCTTTGAAACGGAGATGAGCACTGCCCCCTAGAGTCAGGAACGACTAGCACATATGTGCGAGGGGAACCTTTACCTTTTATTGAGACCTATCTGTACATGAGGGTTGTGGGTTTCTTTTAAAAAAGTTTATGTTGGGGCGACTTCTCTCTTTTGCTTCCCTACCATGCTTTCAAATGTTCAGATGTTAAAACTGCTCTCTTCCCCTCACCCCCTCCAGCAGGAGGAGGGAAAAGCAGGGCAGGTTGGAAACTGTGAAATAATTGAAAAGTCAATTACTCCCACAGCCCCCGGGGTAAGTGTCTCCTTCCCTTTTGCATCAGGAGCCAAAAAAAGAGAGCGCATGCAGCCTTTTAAAGCACATTGCGCTGTATGATATGTGTGTGCATGCATGCATGCGTGTGTGTCACCCAAGACCAACGGTCGCCAACTGGGGGTCCGTGAGAAAAGTTAGGTGGTCCACAGAAAAGTTATTTGCATTTTTTATATTGCACTGAATAAAGGGTCCTCAAACTACGGCCCCTGGGACGGATACGTGCAATGAACGTTTGTGTTGCTGCAGAGAGTCTCTCCCTTCGGGGTCTTTTTGTGTGGGTCGGAGGGGGGGCAGAAATTCCGACTTGGGGTCTGCTTCGGCCTCCTGGTGTGGGGCTTTGGGCGAAGGCTGGAGGGAAGTGCTGCTGGTGGAGAAGAGCCGGAGAGCCTCGTTCCAGTGGGACTGCATCATGGCCTGGAACTGGCTGACCATCTCAGCTCACTGAGCCTCCAGGTGCCAGTACCTGGCCTTGCACTCCCGCAGGTCTTCCCTCTCCTTGGAAAGCCTATGCTCCTAGTCCTCAGTGAGGTGTTTCTGCTGAGCCTCCTTCTCGGCCAGATCCAATTTGAACTGAGCTGTTTTGCCAACTCTTTCTCGTGGTGGCTGCTTAGCTCCTACAAATGCTTCCTCTTGGGGCACTAAGGAGCCTGGGGGGGGGGGGTAGGCTCATTTTACTCATCTCGGGTAAAGGAAAGGCTGAGCCAACCTTGAGCAGTGAAAATCGAACTCCTGGCTATGGCAGAATTAGCCTGCAATACTACATTCTAACTATTGTGCACCATGGATGGATGGAGGGAGGGAGGGGAGGGAGGGGAGGGAGGGAGGGAGGGAGGGAGGGAGGGAGGGAGGGAGGAAGGAAGGAAGGAAGGAAGGAAGGAAGGAAGGAAGGAAGGAAGGAAGGAAGGAAGGAAGATAACAGACTTACATAGCACTTCAGCCCTCTCTAAGCAGTTTACAGAGTCAGCCTATCGCCTCCAACAATCTGGGTCCTCATTTTACCCACCTCGGAAGGATGGAAGGCTGAGCCAACCTTGAGCCAGTCAGGATAGAACTGCTGACAGTGGGCATAGTTAGTTTGCAATACTGTATTTTAACTACTGTGCACCATAGAGGCAGGGAGGGAGGAAGGGAAGGGAAGGGAAGGGAAGGGAAGGGAAGGGAAGGGAAGGGAAGGGGAGGGGAGGAAGGAAGGAAGGAAGGAAGGAGGGAGGGAATATCCCTTAGTCTTATATACTGCTTCACAGTGCTTTCCAGCCCTCTCAAAGCGATTTACAGTGAAGAACGGTTGCAGGGTTTGGGTTTGGCTAGTCTAGAGAAAAGGAGGACTAGGGGGACATGATAGCAAATGTTCCAATATTTGAGGTGGTGTCACAACAAAGATGGGGTCAAATTCTTCTCCAAAGCACCAGAAGGCAGGTCAAGAAACAACGGATGGAAACTAATCAAGGAGAGAAGCAACCTGGAATTTAGGAGAAACTGCCTAACAGTGAGGGCAATTAACCAGTGGAACAGCTCGCCACCAGAAGTTGTGGGTGCTCCATCCACTGGAGGTTTTTAAGAAGAGATGAACAGCCACTTGCCTGAAATGGTATAGTTTATCCTGCTTGAGCAGGGGGCTGGACTAGAAAGCCTCCCAGGCCCCTTCCTGCTCTAGCCTGATTCCATGCGAAGCTCCTTAGGACAGGCTCACCTTGGCAGACTCCAAGATTCTCATCGTGGCAGCCCAGCTTGCTCCGCGGCCGGTGAGTCAGGTGAGGTTATGTAGCTGCCAAGCTGGTGTCTAGATGTCGGGATGAGGCTGGACCCGAGCCAAACTCAGGATAAAATCCTGACGGTGTGGAGAAGCTCTGGGTAAGCAGTTTTTACGTCTGGGAATTAAATTTACAAGTCTGTCCCCCCTCCGAATGCTGTTGGCTGATCTTTGAAAGAGCAGGTGTGTAGCTTAGAGGGAGGGATGGAGCAGAATTGGGCAAAATTTCTGATGCAGAATCGAGAGGAGCCAAAATGAAATCGATTAGTCCTCGACTTACGACGACAGTAGAGCGCCAAAGTTCTGTTGCTAAGTGAAACATTTAAGTGATTTTCTTTTTGTGTGTGTGTGTGTGCCCCATTTTTACGACCTGGCTCGCCACAGTTGTTAAATAAATTGCTGCCAGGGGTAAAGTTTATAACATCGAATGCAACAGAGGTAGTCCTCGACATACGACCACAACGGAGCTCCAAAATTTCTGTTGCTCAGCGAGACCGTCAAGTGAATTTTGCCTCCATTTTACGACCTTTCCTGCACAGTTGCTAAGTGGACCACTGTGGTTGTAAGTCAGTAACATGGTTGTTAAGTGAATCGTGGCTTCCCCCATTGACTTTACTTGTGAGAAGGTCACAACAGGGGAACACGTGACCCTGGGACGCTGCGACCATCGTAAGTATGAACCAGTTGCCAATTTGGATTGCATGACTGCGACGATGCCACAACGGCCGTTAAGTGTGAATAATGGTCGTCGCTCGCTTTTTTTTCAGTGCCATTGGAATGGTTACGAAATGAACTGTTGTAAGTGAAAGATTTGTCTGTACAACAATGAATTCTATATAGAACCATCAATTTTTCCCCATTTTACAACATAGTTAAGATGTTTCCAAAATGTTTATCCAAGTCCTGGATCTCAAATTCCAAGGGGAGAAAGGAGTACATGCTGTAATCCACCATGAAATCATGCAGACATCAATTCTAACCAACCTGTCTTGCTAACTTGAATGAGACGGAAGGGATGGCTAGACCAAATTATCCTATAGTAGTTCCTTAGGCCATGAGGGGAGAGAGGGAGAGGGGAGAGACAGAAACGGGGAGAGAGAGGGGAGGGGGGAGAGAGGCAGAGAGAGGGAGACAGAGAGGGGGAGGGGGGGACAGAGACAGAGGAGAGAGAGGGGAGAGAGACAGGGAGAGGGGAGAGAGGGAGAGGGGAGAGAAAGGGGGGAGACAGAAACAGAGAGGTGGAGGGGGGACAGAGACAGGAGAGGGGGAGAGGGGGAGAGAGGGAGGGGGGAGAGAGGGAAAGGGGGGGAGAGAGAGGGAGAGGGAGGGAGAGGGGGAGAGAGGAGGGAGAGAGAAGGAGAGGGGAGAGAGAGGGAGAGAGAGGGAGAGGGAGAGAGAGGGGGGAGAAAGGGAGAGGGGAGAGAGGCAGAGAGGGGAGAGACAGAGACAGGGAGAGGGGAGAGAGAGGGAGAGGGGAGAAGGGGGAGACAGAAACAGAGAGGGAGAGGGGGAGAGGGGAGAGAGAGGGAGAGAGAGAAGGAGAGGGGGGAGAGATAGAGAGGGAGAGAGGGGAGAGAGAGATGGAGGGAGAGGAGAAAGAAAGACAGAGAAACAGAGAGGGAGATGGCAGAGAGAGAGAGAGAGGCCCCCTTGTCATAACAAATGTGTGGTTGTAAGCATCCTTGCTCAGCATTGTAAGTTTGCTGAGTAGTAGAAGGGACATCAGGTGACCCTTGCTCAGTCACTGGGCAACCAGTAGCAATGGGGAGCTGCCTGAAGAGGCGCTTCCACCCAAGGATCCTCCAAGATTTTTCCTGGAATCGAACTCAACATTAGCTTATGCTAAAGTTGATGTCCTCCTTCCATTCTGTAGGACAGCGAGTTGTTTTTTTTAATATATATATATAATCTTTATTATTAAAAAAGTTGGACATGGTGCAACCGTCTTGGCGTTATCTCCGCCATACAAAACTAAAGCCTCTTGTGTATTCAATATGCATTACTAATTACTAATTATATACACATACTTAACCTTGTATAGACGCTTACATTTACATATATTACATCTTCTTTCCATCTACACATCCTTGTTCTTATCTGTTCTGACTTCCATTCTTTAAATCTAACCATTGGTAAAATCTATTCCAAATCTGTCTCTCCTGTTATTTTTCAGTTCCAATGTCTATCACATTCTGTGCAGTCAAATATTTTCTTCATTATTTCCCTTTCTTTAGGTATATTCCATTGTTGGGCATAAACTATTCTTGCTGCTGTGATGATATGTAATATTAAATATGAGGCCTTTGAACTCTGGTGCTGGAGAAGACTCCTGCGAGTCCCTTGGACTGCAAGGCGATCCAACCGGACAGTCCTAGAGGAGATCAACGCTGACTGCTCTTTAGAAGGCCAGATCCCGAAGATGCATGCCATCCTGCTTGAATATCGCGACCTTCTAGTGTTAGTAGTCTTTTGTTTCTTAGAGTTCTCCATTCTTTGAGGGTTGAAGGACAGTGAGTGGTTGATGTTCTCCTTCCATTCTGCAGGGCAGTGACTGGTTGATGTTCTCCTTCATTCTGTAGGACAGTCACTGGTTCTCTCTCATCTTTGAACTCTGCAAATGTTGGTCTTCTCCAGTTCTCCTTTCATGTCTGATTATATATTGACCAGACACTGATGCGGTGGTCCTTGGAGCCAGCTGCCATTAGTCTCTCACTGGGCTGGTTGTGATCTGAGAAGGCTACACAATAGACTGTTGATGTGTGGTAGTCTAAGACAGCTAACGGCTTAAGCTTCTTCCAGCCGAAGAGACGGATGCGGTGATCCCAGCCGGCTGTGGCCAAGATCTTCTTGTCTTGACGTAAGGTCACCTCGGAGATCCCAGGGTTGGTGAGCTGGTACGTTTGTTGAAGCTATGGAAAAGATCAGATGTGGAGAGATGAGCATGGCAAAAGTTTTGTTTGTGCGGTCAAAGGAAAAACAAAAGAAACACTCAGCTAAAGATGACCTCATTTCTCCCCAAAGAATGGAAGCCCCGTTTCTCCCGTCCTCCACTTCCTGCCATTTCTCTCTCTCTCAATATTTTGACACTATGACATGACTTATAAGCTACAAGCACACTTAGAGAGGCTTCATTGCAATCGCCTTCTGTGTTTCCCGACACAAATTCTACCTGCTCTTTAGAAGAGCAACTAAGATGATGAAGGACCTGGAGATGAAAACATATGAAGAACTGTTGCAGGAATTGGATTCCAGGGCTAGTCTAGAGAAAAGAAGGAACTAGGGGAGACATGATAGCAGCCTTCCAATATCTCAGGGGCTTCCACAAAGAAGAAGGAATCAAACTATTCTCCAAAGCACCAGAAGGCAGGACAAGAAGCAATGGGTGGAAACTCATCAAGGAGAGAAGCAACCTAGAATTAAGGAGGAATTTCCTGACAGAACAATTAATCGGTGGAACAACTTGCCTCCAGAAGTTGTAAATGTTCCAACACTGGAAGCTTTTAAGAAGAGATTGGACAACCATTTGTCTGAAGAGGTGTAGGGTTTCCTTCCTAAGCAGGGGGTTGGACTAGAAGACCTCCAAGGGCCCTTCCAACTCTGTCACTGGGTTATATATCTAGGGTAGTGTTTCTCAACCTTGGCCACTGTAAAATGGGTGAACTTCCAACTCCCAGAATGGCTGGTTGGGGAATTCTGGGAACTGAGGTCCACAGGTCTTAAAAAGTCGCAAAGCTTGGACATCCCTAACCTACCCAATGGAACGGGGGCCACCTCAAACGCTCGTCCGTCATGCCATCCTGAATAAGAGCTTCTGGGGGGGAATAAATTCTGCTATAAAAACAGGGGAGGGGCAGTGGAGTGCCATGGTTATCTCAGGAGCTTGGAATGTCCACATAATACCTCATCTGGTTTATATTATTAATTCAAATGGATAGAAGGGAACAATTTAATGGGGGTTTATAATAGCCTGGACAAGGAGGAGGAAAGAGAAGAGGAGGGGGAGGAGGAGAAGGAGGGAAAGGAGAGGAAGACAAGGCAAAGAAGGAGGAGGAGAAGGGGAAGAAGAAGAGGAAGAGGAGAGAAAGAGAGAAGGAGAAAGACAGAAGGAGGAGGAGGAGAGAAGAGGAGGAAAAGGAGGAGAAAGAGGAGGGAGGAGAAGAAGAGAAAGAGGAGGAGGAAAAGGAGAGAAAGACAAAGCAGAGGAGGAGGAGGAGAATAGGAAGAGGAGGAAGAGGAGGAGAGAAAGAGAGAAGGAGAGAGAAAGAGAAAGAGGAGGAAGAAGAAGAGAAGAGAGAAGGAGGAAAAGGAGGAGAAAGAGGAGGGAGGAGAAGGAGGAAAAAGAGAAAGACAAGGTAGAGGAGGAAGAGGAGGAGAAGATGAAGAGGAGGAGAGAAAGAGAGAAGGAGAGGGAAAGAGAAAGAGGAGGAGGAAGAGGAGAAGAGAGTGAGGAAAAGAAAATGAGGAGAAAGAGGAGGGAGGAGAAGGAGAGAAAGAGGAGGAAAAGGAGAGAAAGAAGAAGAAGAAGGAAAAGACAATTTCAATTTGTTAACCTTAATCCATCCTAATTGGCTACTGTGAGAAAAGGGTAAGTTTATTTTTCTGGCCCTCAAATTTTCATTATCATTATCCTATCCTAGTTCAGTCCAGTCCAGTCCAGTCTATTACTATCCTATCCTATCCGATCCGATCCGATCCGATCCGATCCGATCCGATCCTATCCTATCCTATCCTATCCTATCCTATCCCAGTCCAGTCCAGTCCAGTCCATTCCTATCCCATCCCATCCCATCCCATCCCAGTCCAATCCAGTCCAGTCCAATCCTATCCTATCCTAGCCCAGTCCATTCCTGCCAGTCCATTCCTATCCTATCCTATCCTAGTCCAGTCCTATCCTATCCTAGTCCAGTCCATTCCTGTCCAGTCTATTCCTATCCTATCCTATCCTATCCTAGTCCAGTCCAGTCCAGTCCAGTCTATTCCTATCTATCCTATCCTATCCTAGTCCAGTCCAGTCCAGTCCATTCCTGTCCAGTCTATTCCTATCCTATCCTATCCTATCCTATCCTATCCTATCCTATCCTATCCTATCCTATCCTAGTCCAGTCCATTCCTGTCCAGTCTATTCCTATCCTATCCTATCCTATCCTAGTCCAGTCCAGTCCAGTCCAGTCCAGTCTATTCCTATCCTATCCTATCCTATCCTATCCTATCCTATCCTAGTCCAGTCCAGTCGTTTCCAGTCCAGTCCTTTCTTGTCCAGTCTATTCCTATTCTATCCTATCCTATCCTATCCTTTCCTATCCTAGTCCAGTCCTTTCCATTCCTATCCTATCCTATCCTAGTCCAGTCCATTCCTGTCCAGTCTATTCCTATCCTATCCTATCCTATCCTAGTCCAGTCCAGTCCAGTCCAGTCCAGTCCTTTCTTGTCCAGTCTATTCCTATCCTATCCTATCCTATCCTATCCTATCCTAGTCCAGTCCAGTCGTTTCCAGTCCAGTCCTTTCTTGTCCAGTCTATTCCTATTCTATCCTATCCTATCCTATCCTTTCCTATCCTAGTCCAGTCCTTTCCATTCCTATCCTATCCTATCCTAGTCCAGTGCTTTCCATTCCTATCCTATCCTATCCTAGTCCAGTCCTTTCCAGTCCAGTCCAGTCCAGTCTATTACTATCCTATCCTATCCTATCCTATCCTAGTCCATTCTTATCCTATCCTATCCTATCCTAGTCCAGTCCAGTCCTATCCTATCCTAGTCCAGTCCATTCCTGTCCAGTCCAGTCCAGTCCAGTCCAGTCCAGTCTATTCCTATCCTATCCTATCCTAGTCCAGTCCAGTCCTATCCTATCCTAGTCCAGTCCATTCCTGTCCAGTCCAGTCTATTCCTATCCTATCCTAGTCCAGTCCAGTCCATTCCTATCCTATCCCAGTCCAGTCCAGTCCAGTCCTATCCTATCCTATCCTATCCTAGTCCAGTCCAGTCCAGTCCAGTCTATCCTATCCTAGTCCAGTCCAGTCCAGTCTATTCCTATCCTATCCTATCCTATCCTATCCTATCCTAGTCCAGTCCATTCCTGTCCAGACTATTCCTATCCTATCCTATCCTATCCTATCCTATCCTATCCTATCCTATCCTATCCTATCCTATCCCAGTCCAGTCCAGTCCAGTCTATTCCTATCCTATCCTATCCTATCCTATCCTATCCTATCCTATCCCAGTCCATTCCTATCCTATCCTATCCTATCCTATCCTATCCTATCCTATCCTAGTCCAGTCCCGTCCAGTCCATTCCTGTCCAGTCCATTCCTATCCTATCCTATCCTATCCTACTCCAGTCCAGTCCAGTCCCGTCCAGTCCATTCCTGTCCAGTCTTTCCTATCCTATCCTATCCTAGTCCAGTCCTTTCCAGTCCAGTCCAGTCTATTACTATCCTATCCTATCCTATCCTATCCTAGTCCAATCTTATCCTATCCTATCCTATCCTATCCTATCCTATCCTAGTCCAGTCCTGTCCAGTCCAGTCTATTACTATCCTATCCTATCCTAGTCCATTCTTATCCTATCCTATCCTATCCTATCCTATCCTAGTCCAGTCCAGTCCTATCCTATCCTAGTCCAGTCCATTCCTGTCCAGTCCAGTCTATTTTACTATCCTATCCTATCCTATCCTATCCTATCCTATCCTATCCTATCCTAGTCCAGTCTATTCCTATCCTATCCTATCCTATCCTAGTCCAGTCCAGTCTAGTCCAGTCCAGTCCTATCCTATCCTATTCTAGTCCAGTCCAGCCCAGTCTATTACTATCCTATCCTATCCTATCCTATCCTATCCTAGTCTATTCCTATCCTATCCTATCCTATCCTATCCTATCCTAGTCCATTCCTGTCCAGTCCAGTCTATTACTATCCTATCCTATCCTATCCTATCCTATCCTATCCTATCCTATCCTAGTCCAGTCTATTCCTATCCTATCCTATCCTAGTCCAGTCCAGTCCAGTCCAGTCCAGTCCAGTCCAGTCCAGTCCAGTCCATTCCTATCCTATCCTATCCTAGTCCAGTCTATTCCTATCCTATCCTATCCTAGTCCAGTCCAGTCCAGTCCAGTCCAGTCCTATCCTATCCTAGTCCAGTCCAGTCCAGTCCAGTCTATTCCTATCCTATCCTATCCTAGTCCAGTCCAGTCCAATCCAGTCCTGTCCTATCCTAACCTAGTCCAGTCCATTCCTGTCCATTCCTATCCTATCCTATCCTATCCTATCCTATCCTATCCTAGTCCATTCCATTCCTTTCCATTCCATTCCTATCCTATCCTAGTCCATTCCATTCCTGTCCAGTCTATTCCTGTCCTATCCTACCCGATCCTGTCCTATCCTATCCTATCCTATCCTAGTCCATTCCTGTCCAGTCCATTCCTGTCCAGTCTATTCCTGTCCTATTCTGTCCGATCCTGTCCTATCCTATCCTATCCTATCCTAGTCCAGTCCATTCCTGTCCATTCCTATCCTATCCTATCCTATCCTATCCTATCCTATCCTATCCTAGTCCAGTCCAGTCCAGTCCAGTCTATTCCTATCCTATCCTATCCTATCCTAGTCCAGTCCAGTCCAGTCCATTCCTGTCCAGTCTATTCCTATCCTATCCTATCCTATCCTATCCTATCCTATCCTATCCTATCCTATCCTAGTCCAGTCCATTCCTGTCCAGTCTATTCCTATCCTATCCTATCCTATCCTAGTCCAGTCCAGTCCAGTCCAGTCCAGTCTATTCCTATCCTATCCTATCCTATCCTATCCTATCCTATCCTAGTCCAGTCCAGTCGTTTCCAGTCCAGTCCTTTCTTGTCCAGTCTATTCCTATTCTATCCTATCCTATCCTATCCTTTCCTATCCTAGTCCAGTCCTTTCCAT